TGCATCAACTAAATGAAATTTGGATTTCATATAAAATCTGTTAAACTTCAGAGGGAGAATGAATGGCCACATAATTTTTTTCCCATTTCCATTAAAGATATGCACTATGAGTTTATCTGGTCCGAGATGTTGAACAATGAGGGATAGTGATCTTAATGCACCTAGCCTCATGAGATTTATCAGAGCCGAGATCGATCAGGTTCAACTTTATCATGACATCATCACTTTTTGTTGTGAGGTATAGAGGATGATTATGATCTATAATCCCCAACATAAGATCTGCTTGGCAGAATGTAATAACTAGTTTAGTTTGAGCTTGCAAAACTTCAGTCAAGCCTCTCAACGAAATATGCTTCACATCTCTCTAAATTTTTATGACTTTGAATCAAAGTTTTTCAGATGTCTTTTAACACGAGCTTCATATATATTGAGTTGTCTTGCATTTTTTTTAGATGTGACAGGATATTATGTTCCACCCTTTTATTTGAAGTAAATTTCTCCATGGGATCCTTGGAAATAATTTCTTTATTAATGACTATATATTTTCCCATATCTTTACTGGATAATCTCTTATTTTATGAAAGTAGCAATACCTTACAGCTTCTCGATTATACTTGAACCACTTCATCCAATTCAAATTCATCCAATGAAGTGATTTCTTCAAAAGCAACATTCATTATTTAAGAGGATTCAACTAAGAGTTCAGAGTCACTATTCAACCCCATATGCTCCATCTATGAGGCCCTTTTTTATTCTGATCTAGATTCACATTCTTAGGGTAATTTTTGTTGGAGTCATTGCCACCTGACTTATATTGTGAGCTTTAAGAAGAGTTTTTTTGATAATTTGATACCACTGAAATGACTTAGCATGTTTCCACATGGAGTGATTCTTAGGGGTGTCAAAAAATTATCCGAATCATAAACCCGACCTAAACACAATCTGAAAATTTTAAGTTTAGGTTTAATAAACGAGTCGAGTTTGGGTCATGCATTCTGACCCGTTTATTAAACAGGTTAGGTTCGGGTAGACCCACCAACCTGAGTTTGAACTGAAATTGACCCGTTTAATATTTTTTGTTAATTCCTTTTATTTATTGATATTATATTTTATTTTTTATCAATTAACATAAAATTTATTATTAATAAGCTAATAAGAATATTTTTTTAATTAAAATGACTTATAGGGTCGGATTTGAGTTCCCAGTGGGTTAAGTTTGGATTTGATTTTTGATCCATTTATTAAATGTGTTGGGTTTGAATTCATCGGATTCGAGTCTGATCAATTTCAAATCAAACTCGAATCCAACCTGTCGACCCATTTGGATACCCCTAACGATTCTCCATCTTCTTCATCTTTTATTTTGCATATGCAAAGGTATGACATCAAGTCTATGAGTATGAAAGGCCATCTCATTGGCTGATGATATCCCTCCAGGTTATTGATGATCTTTTGAATTACAAACTTCTTATGATTTGATCCTTTGGGCATACTTGGTCTCTTGGGCATGCTCATAGAGAATCACTCTTTATGTTGGGATGCATCGGCAATACTAAAATGTTTTATAATCAATAACTTGGAAGTGAATGCACTTGAACTTAATTTTTCATACAATTCAAGCACTAGTTCAATTGAAGACCTCTATTTAACACCAGAAACTCCTTCCAACTGCTTTAGCATCATTAGTGCCTTCTTTGAGATTATGGACTCCCACTCTTCATTTTCTTGTATTGCTTTCCCTTCTATTTTATCTTCTTTTATAATTAGTGGTATGGGAGAGGATGTAATTACTATTGTAGATTTCCTTTTTGGGTGAACTAAGAAGTTATTTGACAGCGTAAATTCAGCTTTTTAAAATTTTTTTCAAGCCAACTTTTAAAGACATAACAATCTTCAATAGAATGGTCAATTAATCAGTGATAAATTTAGATCCTAAAATGGCCAATTACTCGGTGATAACTTGGACAAATTTAGCTTCTCAAAATTTATCACCCTATCTAATAGATCCTAAAAAGATAATGGAGCTCAGGAATAAAAATGATAACATCTTATTATTGTTGTTTCCCATTAGCAATTGATTAACATACTCCTCTTCCAAATGTCGCTCATACTTCTTGTTCATATTGCGCTTGAAGGTTATATACCTTGCACCAACTTATTCTTTCTTTGCTTCTCTATGGCAAGATCAATAATAGTGATCTACTCATGTACTAGCAAACCTCATTACAAACATATCTTCCAATTTCACAAATATCTATGCGAATTATTGGAAAACTAAATGAACCATTCAAAAGTAGTCGTAAACAAATCACTAATGAATTAGTAGAAGAGTAGAGCATCAACACATCTGATATTGCTTGGGTTAAGTGTTTTTTTGGATAGTCATTGCCATTGAAAGTATTGAATTTTGGCACGGAATAATCCTTTGAACATGTTACCTCATCGTACTCGGCTGGATATGGGCAACCTTTCCCCACTAACTTCTCTGGCTATTCTGAAGCAATAATAGCTTTAGCTTTCTCATTGATGAGATTTTGAAGCTGAGCAGCCATCACAAGCTCGGATGTACTTGGAATATTTTGAGCTGGTTGGAGCACTACCGGATTTGTTTCATTTCTCCCTTCATGAGCATCCTGCATTTTGAAGGCTTTGGTACAGAAGTTATTTATTTCATTTACTGTAGTGGCATCAACAAACAAGGGATTTTCCTCTAATTCCACGCCTTATACCTCTCCTAAGGAGGAACCTAGATCTTAAGCTGGATTATTGTTTTTGTTCTTCTAGGGGAGCAGAAGTTCCCACAAAAGCAGATCCTTCTTTGTAGAGTTAATTGCCCTCTTGGGGGAAAATCAACAAACAAGAGATTTTTCTCAAATTCCACTCCTAAGGAGAAACCTGGATCTTCAACTGGACTACTACACTTGTTCTTGATATTCCTAGGAAAACAATCATTAGCACCTTCTCTATGGCCTTTCAAATGTACACAGACAAAGAAAATCATGTATGTTTAAATCAAATTTTATAGAAGAAACTTTAATGCATGATATTCTGTTGAGAATATTTAGATATAAGTAATGATTTGCAATTACAATATGAATAGATTAGTTGATGAGTCTATTGATGGTTGAATGCCATTTCTTCTTTGATCTAAGTTGTGCGCATAAATGGCTCCAAAGCTTCAAAGAATGCATGTGGAGCAAAGCCCTACATGGGGTCCTGGTTGGGTACCCATGCTTTACTCGAACAGACTTCTCCCACCCACGCTCACCCATAGTGACTTTTGGGTTGTCGTACCTCCTATACCCACCCACTTTCCATACTTTTTGAACACAATTTGCCAAAGACTGAATGTTGTCATTTGCTCTGATTGCAAACTTTCAAGCCGCATATCAAAATTAATCATAGTCGCAGCATGATTAAGTGTTGCACGCTACATAATGAGGATTACATTAATATAAGATATATGATGATTAGCAATGTAAATCGATTTATCCCCCTAATGTTGAGTACCCACCCATATCCACCCACAAGGTCATGAGCGTACCCATACCCACCCATACCCATTAAGTATGGGTGGGTACATGAGTGGGTGTGGATATTGGTACCCAATGCAGGGCTCTGATGTGGAGTTATTCCTTCAAATTATGTCCGAGTTCTTACTTTCAAGGTATGCTACAATTAGTTTTTCATTTCCTACTCCAAAACTTCTCAAGCACCAATCCACTTCCAATAAATCTTATAAAAGACCGCACTCAAATTCTATCCTCTTTCTACAATTAAGAAAGGAACATAAAAAAAAAAAATTAACCCTCCATTAAATTGGAATCAAAGTACGTTACGTTTTTTTTTTACTTCTTTTCTCAAATATATAAATAAATAATTTTTTTTTGTGATTTCTCTACCTTGGTCAATCGCCCCTTCTTCCCAATCCATCCTCATTTTTCCCCTTCTTACTCGTGCAACTAAAAAAATTAAATTTGAGTAAAAATATCATAAGAAAAAAAATCAAACAAGTACTTAATAAAAAAAAAAAGATTTTTCCACCTCGGCCTCTAAACCAATTTCAAAATAATCAAACTAGACCAAAAGCCAACAAAAGCTTCCCTTCCATCAACTCCAATAACCAATCCTAATCATGTAACCTTGAACATCGTAGGATGTAAACAAGCCGAGTTGAGTCGAATATGTTTAGCTCTCACTGAGCTCGTTTAGCTCTCATTGAGCTCGAGCTCAACTTGTTTAAAATTTTTTGAGCTCGAGCTTGGCTCGAATATGGAGCTCGGTTTTCTAATTTTAAGTTGGATACGAAACAATTGGCAAGAATCTAACTTTCTTGAATTCTGACTTTGATGTTCCAACTTTCTTGAATTCCCGGACTTGCTTTGAGACAATCATAACCATCCAACTAGTAATAATGTTCTCTATTGGTAGCATTTGTAAGAAGATTTGCATACTCAGTTCTCTGTGTAAAAAAAAAAAAAAGTGGGCTACTTGCTGCTTTGGGTTAATGGACCATGAATAGTAGATGCTTAGAGTTCTGAAGTTTTAAACTACTATTTTAGACACCAAAACATGTTTCCTGAACGTCATAACAGGAAGTAAAGGAAAGGCATATTCATCCCCCATCATTGGTGAAATTTAACAGAGAAATTTCAGTAGATTCGAAGCACAATATAAGTTATCAACCCATTTATCAATCCTTATCTTCACAATAAGGTCTTCACAGGAATTGGAAGAGAACTGATACTCCCCTAATATATTCAATATTTGTAGTTATTTAATTGAAGGAAATTTTGAAAATTTTTTGTATTTTTTGTATGCGCTTGATAGGGTTATATTTTCTCAACAATCAGAATATACTGAAATTTTTAGCATTAACAGCAGGATGGACACATAAATTGAGTAACTTGTATAAAATTCTTATTTCTCTCGGTATAATGATTTATTTTTTCTGCCTTTTCAACATCTGATTTGTTTAAGCTGCACCTACTTCCAAACAATTTCAACTTTAACACACAATACAATCAAGATATCCACAAGCTGGAGAAGCCCACAACACATTGAAAATTGAATTTCAAGATGAAATCTGTAATCTCCTTTTAAACATTTTTTTTTCACTTTTTTTATGAAATTGGATGCAGGCCAAATCAAAAGGAAACGAACAGGCTGCCCTATTCCGATAATTCATAAAGAACTAGAAAACAAAAGGAAGAAACTTGGAAAGACAGCAAGAAATATTTGAACTGGCAAACTACCTCACCACTCTACAAGAACTCGAGAAAACAAGACAACTCAAGCAACTGAAATCCAACTCTCCTTTATTTGAGCAAGCTGCACAATTTCAGCTCTCTCTCGAGCTCGTTGAACCTCTTAGCGTCGTCTGAGGTCCTTCGAGTCACCATTCCCCACTTTGCACGTAAGTGGCTAGATGAAACTCAAACTAAATTCTATTTTTTTTCTTGCTATCTTGAAGGAGAAGAATCTCACGCCTACACACTCTTCTCGTTGCTCTCTTTCTTCTGGGATACACGCTACAGCAATATCCAAGTTTTCCAAGTTATCTTAAAGATCGACTCCTGCTCGAGAAACATTGAAGTAAAAAATTTGAACAAAAAAAAAATCTTACACGTGAGAACATACAGGTGCAGGCCGATGAAATAGAAGAAGAGCCACAGCTTGAATTGCAATAGTCCGAAATGTCAACCACGGGAAGGAGAAAAACCTAGCAATTTTAGTCCAGGCACATAAAGTTATTCGCAGTAGCAGCGCAGTCGTCACGTATTACGATTTTATGAAAGATGTATGGTGGCCAGGGTTTCTTTCCTTCCGTATAATATAAGTTAATATTTAAAAAAGATTAATTTTTTGATATATAAATCAAATAGCTCGATAAGCTTTCAAGTCGAGCCAGACTGAGCCCTAGCTCGAGCTCGTATAATATACCGGTTCGAGCTTGACCTCTCAGAACTCAATAAGCTCGACTTGTGAGCTCGTTAAGAGTAAAGTTTGAGACGGCTCGGCTCACTTATACCCCTAAAACATCCCATTTTAAAAACCATCCTAATCCCATAACCTATCATATTACATACACCTAGATCTATCTCCAACCTATTAATGCCTATTCCGATAGTACTGTGAATTTTCCTCATTCCCCAAATGCAAATTTCACATCATTGCCATATATCAGCCCTTAAATCTAGTAGATATCCTCAAGCCACTTTGTCATCGAACTCTTTTAAAATATCTATCCTTTCACATAGAAATTTGGTTTTTCCTCAATGTTGTGTTTGTATTGTTGGTCCAACCAACCCCACCCATCTCTACCATCTGCTCAAAGTTAAGAGTAATTGAACATGTTGAGTTGGCCCCTGCAGCTCACCAACCTACTTCACGCTGGCTTCTCACAATGTCATCGACCTTAGAGTCTCACAAAGTCTCTTGCCCTGTAGATTCACTAATCATTGGTGTCTTTTTACAATCACTCCCCACAACCAAACAACAATCATTGGCCACAAATGTTATCATCAATTCAAATATTGTATTTTAACTTCTGATATAAAGATGGTGCTCTTATTTGAAAATATAATGGAGGCTCTAATCTTAGATATCCCAATTAAAAGATGGGCCTCAAGTATGGTCAGGAAAACCAAAAATGCCAACTTGTATAGAAATATGGAGTGTATATGATAATAAGTGAGGCAGAAAAAATAAAAGATTGCGATAAATCATTGGCAGTTAACTATCGAGAAGGGAAAATCGGGTGAAGAGGAAGAACCAAAATGATAATAAGTAAAGGATTGAAAACACGACAAATGAATACTTCTAATAAAAGGAGGTATTAGGTTTCAAAGATAAATTATAGACAGAAACCCCAAAAGGGAGAAAGATTCATAAGAGGGGAGGCCACAAGAAAACCATTTCTTTATTCCGTCATCAGCATTGACTGAATTACAGGATACTAATCCTATTTAAAGAAACATGCCTTACTCCAAATGGTGACACTATATTTAAACAAATATTGAATTTCAAATTAATCCTAAATAATAAATGACGTTAACCATTCATCATTAACTTAAATGAAATAAAGATCAACACAATGTAAATTAAATGATACTTAAAACATAGACTCATAATAAACTGAGATGGACTTGTAACAATGTCAATTCTCCTATGTTGCAAAAAATATAATGCTGAGAAATGATATGTTACAAGAATAACACATAGTCAACAAGTATACTGTAATGCTAGCAATATAGAACTCAAGGAAACAAGAATAATGTGAAACTTATCCCAAAGTATAAGTAATGAATGGCTCATCCATCCCATAGAGGAAGCAACAAAACGAAAGAGCATCATTACATCAACAATATCAGTAAAAGACACATTCATATATCCTCAAGAAAAGTTTCACAAGACTACAAAAATATCTTTGCGAGCTTGAAGTTCTTTATCCACATTCCGAGACTAATCCAGTCAAGTATTAATAAATTTAATTTGATCCTCATTTTGTCCACTTGTGCTTACGGTTGAATTAGGCTATTTGAGTTAAGTTGGGCTAAGTTTATACATGGATTGCAAATAATATTAAATGAATTTGATATTTTTTTTGCTGAAGAAGAGGAATAAAAAGATGTAGGGGCTATGTGGCAAAATATGGGAGCACAAGCGAGCAGGTAAAGTGGCTGAAAGTGCTATGGCACATCAAAAAAGGGTGACTTGGTTACTCTAAGGTTTTAACTAAAGAGCAACAAACTAATTATGAAGTAGAAATTAATTTTAGATAACAATAACGATGCTATGAAAGCAAATACTACTATTTTTTTATTGAAATATATATATATATATATATATATATATATTGCAATACAGGAGCCCGGACTTATGTTTTGATGATTATAAACATTATTTGATGTTTATTTAGTTTCTCATGATTTATACTGCATTTTTTTTTTTTTTTTTTTTTA